CTTCTTGCTGTTTTTTTTTGCTGGTTGTCAGAAGAGCGTATTATATGATTCAAACCATTAACAAATTAACAGTAATAACCGGTTGCAACACAATGGAAAGATAGAAGAAACAAAATGGGAAAAAAATTAGAAGAAATAGTTTGTTTGCTAAATGAAAAAAAAACTGAACAATAGCGGATTTACACATCGTCAGATATCAGAATTAATGCTCCTAGCTCTCTATTGAACAACCTTTCTCTGCAATTTGACCAAAAATGTGAATATCTGAGCCGATAATATATTGCAGTGAAAAACCTTATGACGACCGACAGTTTGTCTCGCTCCTTCTTTGTCTGAGCAAAATTTTAAACTAGGCGAAGATACTGTCTTATCAGTGTACAGATAAAAGTAGTTGATTTATACGTAAGAAGACAATTATTGTCTAGAAGATAGAGTAAGTAACTTGAAGATAAAAAATTACGTAATTAAACTGTTGTCTAAAATACTGACTGCTTTATAGAATAAACCAAACCCTAATTTTTTTTCTGCAAATAAAAGAAATATTTAGATGGTTTTTTTTATGTGCCAAAAGTTTACAGCTGACAATTGTCTAACAGTTCCTTTTTCATCCTCTGATGATATTGATATGTCATACTTGTGATTAAATTTCCGAAGGATTTTTTGAGACGTTAGCAAGTTTTTCTTTTTTTAATTTTTCTTTCTTTACTAATTTTTTTTGTAGTTTTTTTTTTAGGTCTGGACTAGTAGGTCTGGACTAGGCAGTAACTGTAACTGTTCAGTGAAAAAGGAAACTAAAGGTCAACTACAACTCCAACTTGCACAAGTAAAAGATTAGATCTGTTGCATAGGCTAAGAGGTCTTTAAGCTAACTTTTAGATCAGTCAAAGTAGAAGACGAACGAAACGATGTGCAAAACTGCTGTTTCTTGCCCTTCTACAGCGGTATAAAACTGGGGAAATAAATTTTTAATGACAACACCAGACTCCACTCAGAAAGCAAAACAATTTTTCTTTTTTGTTTAAAGCCATTGCGTTAAAATTGAATTAGAAGTTAATTCTTTATGTTGCCAAAGGAGAACCTCTGACAATACTTTTTCAGCGCACTATGAAAGACCGAATACTGTTATTAAGGTTGTAGTGTTTTAGGACTGATTCATACAGAAGTAGAAGTACAAAACGAGTAAAGTCATAATTACTACAGTATCAAGAATTTGGTTGCAGAAGCTGTTAAAGAATGATCAATATCTTTGAAGTCCTGTAAAGTTTAGCAAATTTACCAAAACTAGCACTCCTGCCTTATAGAAGCATACGCTGTTGGTGAGGAAAAATATTTTTATGGCTGTTTTTGACGCTTGCAGTAACATCACTACTTCATCACTGGTGAGTCATTGTTCGTACGAGAAGAATGAACAGTGGCATTTTTAATAATACTGAAGCGTTCTTTGCGGTGTAATGGTGATATAAATTTTGTCTTAGAAACTATATGGTAAATTTTTTAAAGAAGAAAAGACTCGTTCGCAAAATAACTTTCTAGGCCAACTTGGCTGTGTTATATGATAGAGCTGACACCTCTGGCTGGCATTTGATAATCAAGACTTCCCAACTAATCAAGACTTCCCAACTAAAAGCGGGGAATGTTTGGTAGCTGAAAGAAACAGGTAAAACAAACAAACCTTTTCATTGATATGTGATGTCTATTTTTATTACCTTGCCTGTTAGCTAATTGTCTTGTAAATCTTTAAAAATTAAAAAGTTTCACTAATTTTTTGGAAAAAAACTTTTTCTTTTTCTCTTCTTTTATCTTCTTATTTCCTTTTTTAGTTGTTTTCAGTATTCAATCAAACTAAAATTTTTTTTTAACCCAGAACATTTCAATACATTTTAGTTACTATTGTTTACGGTATTCCTCTTAAATTTTTTGTCCTTCCCAATCTTTCAAGCCAATTTTGGTACAAAATTTTTTAAATTTTTAGCACTGATCTGTTAGAATTTTGGAGAACTTTATGCAGCTCTTAATTAAATTTTGTTTGAAAGGTTCAAGTCCGTCTAAATAAAAATCTTTATGGCATTACACCAATGTCAAAAGTGATCTTCAGTAAAGTAGTAAACGTACAGAGCGATATTATAAGTTTGAAAAGTAGTGGTGAAGAAGGACATAGACCTCTCAAAAGACAAACAGAAGCGTGTTAAATAAACAACGGAAAAAGCGGAAATATGTGCTTATAAATGCGATTGAATTATCACTATATGTGTGATAATGCGTAGCCGAAACTTCCAGTACAACACAACTGTAAGTTCCAGAAACTGCTGCAGTTTGTAGCAGTATCATCTTTGTACGCTTTTCACGGCTCATTTTTCTAGTTTTCTTTTCGTTTTCAGAGTTCTTTTCTCTAATTCTTTCACATGTCAGAACAAAAGCAAAATGTAAGCATTTTTCAATTAGGTTTCTAACTGAAGGGCTCAGACTTCCCGAAAAAAAATCTTCTATTACACTGTACCAACAACGACAACGATTTTCTTTTGAAATGAACGACTTGGATAGGCACACACTAAAATTCAATTTTTTAAACGTTTTAGTGCAGAAAGACATACATTTCTCAGAAGATGAATAGAAGCGTGCAGAATATACGAAAAAAGAGAGGGAAGAAAGATGTGGCCGCGAATGAAACTGTTCTGGTCACATTAAATGTTTCTAACAGAGAGAGACCAGAAATGCTACCTGGATTTGCATCGCTTCGCATTCAAATTTATAAATCTGATAAAAATACAGTTTCAAGATTTTACCTTTACCACTAAAATACATTAATTTTCTTGATCTTTCTACAGAACAATTTTGAAGAGGAGGAAGAAGGTGGAGTCTTTAAGCAAGAAAAAATCTTTCTTGGTCGATCATTTGCGGGGAAATAGGTGTTTCCTCGTGGGAAAACGAAGACGCGTAAAGCACTTTTGTGTCAGGAAAGGTTCACTTTTTTTCTTTACAATGGCCATTTTTATTACTTCATAGACGTACAGAAAGATATTTTCCCAGTAAGTCAGTGCTTATAAATCATAATTTTTAGAAGCGCTTAAGAAGTGAAGCAAAAGGCGGGGAATAAATGTCACTGTAATCAGGTGACATTTTTGTTAACTATTTACGTTGTGAACATTGAGTTTTTATAAATTTAAGGGTGTACTTTGAACAGCATAGCAATGAAATTTTCTATTTTGTACCTATAAATCAGCTAGAGCTAGTATATAGGTAGTAATAAAATCATAAATTTATCACTTATGCTGTAACTAAGACTTACCGGTATTTAGCTCTAAACACTGATAACTTCTAGATTTAAAGTTATAAAAAAAAGAAGAAGTAATTAGAATGAAGATTATAAATGCATCAGATCTTCAATCAAATGTACGGTTTGGTTTCTTCTTACAAAAGAAATCAATGCACCTTTTATGCAAATTATATATTTTTGGGAAAATGCTAAGGTTTTAACCTGACAACTTCTTCATGATAAATTAGACTCTAAAATTCATTTAGGAACTGTTTTCATTTGGCTTTCTCAGTAAGCAGTTATAGAACGTCGTTTTTGAAACGTTTCTATTTATTCCTATCGGCAATACCATTTTCTCTTAATGTAAGTCGTCAGGAGAAAAACAGTTAAAGTCAATGTTAAAAATAGATTAAAAAATCAGTTTACTGCAAGTTAGCGCAGCAAAAGAAGAAATGACAGACGGTAATTTACCTTAATCAAGATGAAGGCACTCTGTAGCCGAACTAAAATATAGAATTTAACGACTACATAAGATTCCTACAATGGACGGCAAATAGTTCTTTCGTACTCTTTTATTCCCATCAAAAAATATCGACTTCTTACGTAATTCATTAATTTGATTGTAAAATGCATTTTATTACCATTATAGTTGTGATGTAAATTTTGTTTCAATTTTATTGTAACTCCATCAGTGTCATCTGTATACCTTCCTTTTTATCTGTCTCTTGATTACTGTTTATGGAGTAATTGATTTTTGAGGGTAAGTGCCGCAGAATGGTGGGTAGGGGGCGTAATGCCAATGATCAGAGAAATGAGACTGCCTAAAAGATTGTCCTTCTTACCTCCTCTACGCTCAATTTTTTCCTTCTTTCGATTTATCTGTCCGGTGCAGAAGGCTTGTTTGACGACGACATAAATTCATCGCTCTAATTAACCAAAATTACACCGATTTTTTTAGTCAGCTCTGTTTCGATACATTCTCTGTGAGGATTTCGACTACAGTTTTATCTTTTAATATACCCTGGTTTTTTTCCTGCTACGATTCCCAAGAGTTCAATGCTTTTAGAAGCACAAATACGCTTCTTGCTTTCATTTATTACGCGAACCTTCAAGAACCCAGTGATAAAGCCAATGTTTGGGTTGCAAAATCATTCCACCGGTCAATCTCAACAGATCTTTACTGAATAGGAAGCAAATCGTCCGTATTTTAAAACACTTAAAGAACAGCTCATTTATCTCATCGTTCTTACGAGTGCTGCAGCTATAAAATTAAGAATAAGTTCTGAAGGAATATTACTGTTTTAAGGAACAATACAACCTGTCAAGGTAAAGTTGACTTGCAATAACGATCAGCAGAAAAGTTCGACGTTTTACGGTAACATAATAAATGCAATAAAATCTTGTTGCTTCATCATCTTGGTTAAGTAATTTCAAAACAAACCCACTATAAAAAATACGTGATGCAGGTTTGCTTGAATCAACAAGTTCGCTAAACGTAGGAATCAGTGAATATACTCTGAATTTTTCACTGCTGTTTTAAAAGACAACCTTCGATTTCTTAGACAGCAAATGATTCTCCGCAAAATTATTATCAAAGAAACTTGCAGAAATCTCTGTTGTCTTATCCTGTTTTTCAACAAACATATTAACAGTGTTTTGAAACGTATATAGTGACATATGTTTGAGATCATCATTTGTAATTAAAAAAAAAAATAGAATTTTTTGATCATTATGTCTATTGACAGTTTCAATTTTCGGTTTTACTACTTCCCACTGAACCGCGGTACCGAAGCTCTGTGGTCTTGTTTTGAAGCATATTTTTCATATTTTCTTGAGAAGACAAATTTACATCGACTTCTTTGGCTTTGGGAGTTTTCTGAAATAAATTGCAAAGATAATCTACGTTTTATTTAAAGCTTCTTGAATTTTCAAAACAACTGTTGCAAACCGCTAACGGTGGAACTAAGTTCCCTGCACTTTTCTGCTTATTCCCAACAAAAAAATGCTAAATTGAAATGGTTAATTTTAGTTAACAGCAAGCACAAATGGTTCTCCTTACCTGTTTTAGACGGAATACGCTACAAACACCAAGTATTACTGAAATTACAATGCATAATGCTCCTAGACCAACTCCAAAGACCCAGCACAGAATTTTGACCAGTTTTTGAGGGTTAAACAACCGGCTGTTCAAATCGCTAACCGTACCGTCATCGATAAGAAAAGATTCGTTTAGCCAAACAATTGGATAAACTCCAGGTAATAAAACATTGTACGTTCTAAAAGTTGCTTTATTTAAAATAAAAAAACAAAATTTGACCAAAAAAAAATTAGCAGAGTAAGTTGTATCAACAGATGTAGAAGGTAGTCTTTAACGAGAACCTCTAAGACATTTACATCTAATCTGTACTAACGTACTAAAGACATCAAAAAAAGCAATGTGTTTCCTCCAACGGCTTGCATTTAAAAATGATATAAGGTTCTTCAATTTATATCTGATCTACTTTTTCAACGAAAAATTTGTAAAAAGAATTTTTCAAAATGACCTTTTATATATAATCGCGTGCTTTTACACCAGATTCAATACTTGAATTATTTACTTCAAACAATCTTAAGTGAAAAGTCAAGAAATAGTTGAACTTCTTCGGTAGCCTAGTTCGTCACTGATAAGAAGACTGAAAGTGAATGGGGATAAAAAAAATACAGACTTAGTAACATTATAACGCCCAACAACCACGTTGATTTGTAATCGTTTATCAGCTTTCAGTACAATTCCCATATTCTGCAACATTTGAAGTAGTAAGAGCATTTAAATTTTTTAAAAACAATAAGGCTGCTGTCTTCTCAAGTTAAATTAAGCACTCTTTTTCTAAAACCTTAATACAATCAAAACAAATTTTTAGCTACAAAAAATTATAACAGAACAAAAGTTTTTTGGACTAGTTATTGATAACCAAGACGAGAAAATTGACAACCAAGACGAGAAAATTATTTTAGTTACCGGTTCAATATCAACCGACACTTCATCATCTTTGATATTCTGTTTCATACGAGGAAACATATGCAAAATTTCTGGTGCAGCGCCAAGAAAATGTGGTTTTGATACAGCGATTGGTGGAGTCACTGGAAAAAAATTGTCTTAAAGTTGACTGTAAAACTGTTGTCTTTGAAGCACTTTTCCAAGGTTTAAGTTTGAAAATAGCAACTTTTTTGTAACAGTTTGATAAGTTTGACTTCTTTCCGCCTCATAACAAATCATATCTTACATCTTGTGCATTGACTGATATCTAACAATCCATTTGGTAAGCATATCTGACCACTTTTTTTACCATACATATCGTGCTTGAGACGATGGCAAAAGCCACAGTTATGCTCTAAATCATAATTGAACACGTCATCTGGTAATATAAAATGCATTCCTTTGATGTCTTTTATGGTCAGTTGTTTATCATAAACCATATACAGCGACCTAAAACATTACAGCTGGATGATCGGAAAAACTTGAAAAGAAATAATAGTGTTGCAGAAAGCAAGGCATCACTTAATATTAGCAAGCAAAATTTTTTTGATGCACGATCCTAACTGAGACTGTTTGCATCTCAATGTTTATATAAATAACTGTTTTATTTTCTTTGCTCCATTTTTTCGTTGATCGTTAACGAGAAAAAAAATTTTTTTTTCTTCTGCAACATTTTAGTATCAAAAATCTTATACCTATAATAGAAATATTTTGGCTTTTACATTTATTTACCTGCAAATTTCTGGAATGTAAAGATACAACCTATCGTCCTTTTCAACAAATGGTTTAAAGAAATCTCCTACTGAAATAAACATCATTTTTAAAGTATTATATTACCAATTTATAAGTCACTTAAAGTGCGTTTTACAAAAACAAAAAAGCTAAAAGAACTGAAATAGTTGGTAAAATGATGCTTAAATAGCACTAAGCAGAGTTTCTTGATAGTTCAATGGTTGTGCAGTACCCCGGTAAGGTAGAACACTGCATATTTGACTACCATTTGAAGCTTTGCTTAGAACTACCAAAAAAATAAAATAAAATAAAATAAAATAAAAATTGAAGAATAGTCTTCGCGCCCAACTAGCAGATGATCCAATAAAAAATTTTTTACTCTTGTAAGTTCCAGAATTCCTACAAACACTGAATTTGACCTCAGAAATCTAGTGTTGCGAAAGCGTAAAACTAACACGTTCCATTCAGACGTCGAGCAAGGATCGCCTGACTTGGTGAACACTGATCTATGTCTGGTGCAGACCACCTAGAAAAAATTAATTTGAACTAACAGTTTGTTTTCATCGCAGCTTTCTTCTATAACCTTGTTTTGATTTCAACACTGCCGTAAAACTATTTGCAAGTGTTCAAATCTATAATGACAATTTTCTTTTCCTTTTTTGGATATTGCTTATGCTGAATGCCTGGAATTAAACTGGGTTAAGAGTCAGACACTTTAATTTACCAGGATTCTGGTAGCAAATTTCCATCAGTGTTTGTTCCATTTTCATCATCATAAAAGGATAATACTTCACCGACTGTATCAATATCATCTTTACCAGTACGCATTTGAAATTGTAATTGGAGCGTATTATTATTCACCTAAACATTTCTGACGATGGCAACAAATTTACAATGAATGAGAGAAATTCAAAAAAGAAAAAAAAAGCTGTAATTAAGCAACAAAATAAAAACCTACAAAGAAACACACAGTTCAATCTTTTCGTTTCTTTTTTTTTGCTTGTTTTTTAATCCTATTTTTTATTGAATAATTCAGAAGAAAATTGACGATATATTTAGAGTGTCAAGTAAATTTCGTCTGATAAAAGCAAGTTGTCATTGTTAAAGATGATAAGAATTGTACATTCAAATTTGCTTTTGGGGTTTCCAGTGATTTTGGTAAAATGTCAAGAATAGATGATGCATCCTGAATAAGTAGAGGTAAGATTTCTTGAATTATGTCCAGTAAGAAGTTTGCAACTCGCGTTATCAGTGGATCATCAAAACCGTTAAAAAGCAGATCGTTAACTGTCTAAAATTGTTATTTAAATCGTAAGTAGTTTGACGTCTCAAATTTTGACTGTTGAACAACTAAAGCAGCTGCAGTTACAACTTTCAATAACCAGGAGCTGATATATGTATGTGTATATGTAAATGTACAAATGTCGTAGTTATCACTTGAAAAAAAAAAAAAGCTGATTTTTTAATTTACCACAGGTATAAACGGCCCAGCACCGCGAGCTTTCATTGCAATCGAAATATAATCTGAAAAATTCTTTATAGCTTCTTGAAGTGTTTCCATGCTTATAGCATCGCAAAATGATTGACCAGCAATTTCTGGGAGGGTACAAAGAATATTGTGAACCTCCTGAGGACTTGTCAGAATATCCATCAATTTCTAAAAATACAAACTATACTGTCATTAAAAAGTTTAAAGTTTGCGGCTAAGCAGAAAATAAATTGATTATTAGACAGCATTAAACAGTATCTGTTAGAACAAAAGGCTAAGCGAATGCCATTAATCATTTGAAATTTTTATTACTGCTAATCTAAGAAAACTGAATTTAATTTTTACTTTTTTTT